TAGTCCTACATGAATGCATGAAGTCTAAATCTTATAAGAATGCATAAAAATCAAACTCATTTGTGAAGCAATTTTTGAAATTTTTTTTAATTTTTTTTGGTTTTTTCTATGTCTTAGATACTATGAAATCATGATGCATGGTTCATATTCTATTATGCAGATGCAAATGCAAGCATCAGTCCATTTTACACCCTCTCCCACACTTAAATTACACAGTGCCTGTGTAATAAAAAATGTTAAGGAGAGTGTTCACAAACATCAAGCAAACAATCGCAATAATAAAAAAAAAAATGAGTGGTATTTACAATGGTTAGTATGGTGTACCTTACTTCAGGTGGAGGAGTGGTGAGAGTCTGAACTCTCAATGGCATGGGAAGGTAAAGCTTCCTCCTCTGATGGAGTTTGCTGTCTAGTCCTTCTCTTCTTTCCTTTTTGCCTTGGAGCAGCTACATGAAATGAATGTCTGGCCGGTTGGAAAGCTTGTGTCCTTGGCCGCTCATTGATGTGGAATGAGTGTCTCTCTTGGACTGTCCTCTCTGGTGTGTCCTCAGACATGTCTTCAGCATCAGATCCTCCTCTTTGTGGCTCTGTTTGGACCACTTGATCAGATCTCTTGGCTGATGAAGATCCTCCCAACTTCTTCTTGAGTTTCCTCACCTTCTTCTTCAATGAGTCAACCTTTTTTTTGCTTGCTTTGACTGTCTTCAGCAAACCTCTGATGGCTTTGTCCTAGAAGTGGTTCCATCTCTGAAGAAGCCTAATGTGCTCATGTGCAGTCTTTGAAGCTTGAGATGTGCAGATCACATCATATGGATCAAATGCATAAGGGTGGCTATCATAGTCTTCATGTTCCTCTTCTTCCATCCTTTGATGCTGAACCTCTTGTTCTTGATGCTGCTCTTCAAAGTCTTCTTCCACATCTGAGTCTCTGATGGTGCTCATGTTCTTCACTTTGCTTGGCCTCATCAATGGTGGGTCAGTCCTTGGGTCATAAAGCTCATCTTGTGTTGGCATGAATCAGATGTTCTCATGGGAGGTGAAGTTGGTTAAGCGCTGTTTGGGCAAGATAATCTTCTTCTTCCTGTTTTCCAGCTCAAACTGATAGCCAAATCTTGTCTCAACAGCTCCTGAAAGGTATCTGATCTTGCTGAGGTAAAGAACATCTAGGAAGATCATTATAACATCTAGTGTACCAAGCTTAACTCCAGAGCCAAGTAAGATGGGAGTGATCACACCTCCAATGGCTATCTTTGGCTTCTTGTCTCTGGTGTTGAAAGCCCGTTGCTGGTATGCTAGCAATTGCTTCATTAGGATTGTCACAAGACTAACTCCTAAGCGCTCTCCTTGGATCTTCCCATGCCTTGTTTTAACCATAATGTTCTTCAAGCCATTCACAAGTAACCCCATCTCTTCTTCTTTGACCATACTTTGCTCTTTCCTGTAGAAGAGTGAGATGGTGAGGACTCTATGAACATATCTGATAGCTGGATGGTGGATGCTAGCACTCTTCAGATGACCAGCTCTATAAGCATCATTCGCTATTTTTTCTCATACATGCCTTAGCTAGACCATCAACAACAGCATTCTGTACTTGGGCGTCACTCCTCTATACAAAGTAGACAGCAAGCTTTCATTTGTGAAACCATGGTGTGGGCATTGCAAAGTGTAAGACTTGAACCGCTCCCAAGCTTTAGCAAATGTTTCATTCCTATGCTGAGTAAAGCTACTTATGGTGTTCCTAAGCTTTGCTGTTCTTGTTGAGCTGAAGAATTTGTTGAGGAATGCTGTCTTGCACTCATTCCATGTAGAGATTGATCTTTGTGAAAGTGTCTTCTCACACTGATGTGCTTTGTCACCTATTCTGAAAGGGAACAAGTGCAGCTTCAAAGCATCTTCGAAGACTCCTTGAATCTTGGTCATACCACACACCTTATCAAACTGGTCAAGATGATCCAAAGGGTCTTCATTGGGCAGGCCATGGAATCTGTTGCCTTGCACTATGTTGATCAACCCAAGCTTGATCTCGAAGTGGTTCTAATGTACAGCTGGAGCGTGAATGCCATTCCTGTTGTGATGAGTATCTGGTGCATCACCAGCTCCTATTGGTCTTGCAGCTCCAGGTGCATGAACCGGTACTCGCAATTCTTGAACTCCAGCCGCTTAGTTCAAAGCTTCTTGTGCTTCATCTATGTGTGCTGCAGCTTGTTGTAGTGGTGCTTGTCCAACAACACCAACATGTGGTAACTGAGCATCTTGCTCTGCCATTCTCTGTCTTCTATCTCCTGAACTCTCTGTCTTACAGCTCTTCTCCTATGAATGTTGTCAATGAAAGGAGTTAGATTTGATGAGCTTTTAGACCTCAAATTCATTCAAGTACCTGAGAAAACAGAGCACGGAAAACAGAGCAAGTTAGTAAATTTTAAAGGAAAGAACTTAGTCTAACAGCTATGGTAAACTCAAACAATCCACAATGACAACGGCGCCAATTTGAAACAGCAGTTATTGGTCTACTAGATCAAATGTCCGGCTTCTTCTAATCAGTTGTAGAATAGAGATCAGGTATTAATCCAATTGTGGGAGATGAGATGCAAACAATGTTGTAAGCTAAGCAATATTGGGATTTGATTATGTGAGAACAAGACTAGCAACTTAATGATGCAATGAAAGAAAAGCATAAACTAAATGCAAGTGAACAGAACTAAACAATGAAATTAAAGCAATGACTAAACAGGAATTTAAATAATAAATGACTACTTAAGCAAGAACTAAGGAAGATAACTATGAAGGTAATTAATTAAAAACAAGACTCAAGATTTTAAGCAATTGTGGGAATGTGGTTTTCAAGAGTGACAAGGGGGTTTCTTTCTAAGGCACTCAACAAGCATCAACAAGCAAGCAATTCTCAATGTTATGCTCCTAGACAAGGCATCTAAAGGGAACCACTTGGCGTCAATAAGTAATTCATTTTCAACAAGATTGAAGTATCAGACCCACTTGTGATGGCGTATCCTTCAACCATGAGCATAAAGATCAGAACCATTCTAGCCTAAGAGATGCACCAATCAAGCAACTCTCTCACCCAACCAATCAATTTTGTGAACCAATGAGGACCTAAGCAGCTATACACCAATCAAGACTATGGATTTAAGCACAAACTTGCAACATCCTAACAAATCTAAGCAAAGAACAAGAATGAAGAAAAAGCCAGATCTTTTGATGCATACTATCAAACCATCAAGTCAAGAACCTCAAAACCAGCATTATCAAGCCCTAAGCAAATCATCTAGCAAGGTGAACTATCACTTTGGTGTCAATGAACAAAGTAAACATAGACCAAGCTAGACTATCAAGCCAAATAAGCGAACTGTACTTAGAGAAGAGATATTAAGACATCAAGTGAAACCATATGCATCTATCAAACTGTATTCAACCAAAAGGAGCAAGATTTATCAACATTAATCACTTTGCAAGAGAAGGAGATAACAGAGAACCATTAAACAAGCCTAATCATCCATTAATCACATCTTAATCATTATTTTCCCTACTTAAAACCCTAAATCTAAGGAAGACTACTCATTAATCATGTTTAATCTCATTGATTTAGAGTTAAACATAACTAGATGAGTTCAAAATGCAAAAGATTATAAACCTAAGCTACCAAGATGCAAGAACAGATATTAGAAGACAAGATTAAACCAAAAAAATGCAAACTTTATTGAATAACAAGATCCTTTGGCAAAATCACCTTTTTGGGTTTAGAGAGAGTTTTTTTGATTAGATAAAATAAAGCTTGATAAGGATAATGTTTTGTGGCTTCTCTTTCATAGTAGGGAGCCAAAAGAAGCATAAAAATCCTAAAAAGATAAAATAAGATTAAGAAAAGTCAAATGGTCAACGCGGATGAGCTGCATCGAGGTCGTACGGTCGATGTTCTGCTCGATGTGCGTCTTTGATATGGTCCGTGCAGCATGTATCGACTTCCTTCCTCGATGCTGGTCCTCGATGCAGGCCAACGGCTTGGAATCTTCGTGCTGATCCTTCTCCTCTCGTCCTGCTGCTTGCATCGAGCATACTCCACGGGTGTTCTGCTCGATATGCTTGCTCGATATGGACCAGACTTTGCAAGAACTCCACTTTTGACATTTCCTTTGAGCATGAGCTGCTTCCATCCCTTCCCCAGCTCCAAGAAACACCAAAAACACCTGAGAATCACTACAAACATGCACATGTATGCAAATTTATACAATCCTAAGCTAAATGCATGCTATGTTGATTCTAAGTGAAAATGATACCTAAATGCTGAACTATAATGCAAAAACAAAGGAAAAGATGCATGAATGCAGCCTAAAATGATCTAAAATAGCAAGCTATCAACCATCTAGGTGACCAGCTAAGTCATAGGCATCAAGCAAATAGTGGATCTGAAGACACCATATTAGTTAGTTGGTGGATGTGACATTAGAGGTATTGACATTAAACAATGTGGTACTGTTTCAATGATGTTGGTAGGAGGGGTTTACATACATTAGATTAGACATTTACTAACTAAATAAAGACTCTTACCACATAAGGTATGTCCTCTACAACAACAAGTATTTGGTTAAGACTCATGTTAAAACCCGATATTCTTCTCTTTCTTGATATTTTATTTGGATTCTGTTTTGGCATTGTCAATATCATTTGGACTATGTTTTGGTTTCTTCTGCTTCCTTCTATACAGAATATCTGTTATGTTTCGTTTGTACTTGACCTAATAACACTTAAAAAACTCTCAATAATCGTAATCACATTAAAGAAACAATATATTTATCTCATGAGGATAGCTTTTTTTTTAAGCAGATGCCTGTACAAAAATTTTGCAAGGAGAGATTAGTATGTGAGACCATAGACACACATGTGTCCACAATATCAAGAGATAAGTATTACATATAGAATCCGGTATATGTTCTGATCATGAAGAAGTGCTCAAGCATTCTCATTAAACACAATATCAAATAACCTTCCCGGTTTTCTATAGTTCTCATATGCATGTAGGTGCAGTAGCTTGGTGTCTGTCTCATCAGCTGCAACCGCATGAAGCTGAAGCATATCCAAACCATGTCAGTCATCAGTACAGTACCCAAAAAAGGAGAGAGAACAGAAGTAGAGTCAAGATAAGAAGCTTACATACTCTACAAACTTCTGAACTAGCTTGTCCAATGTGAAGAAAAGTAACAGTAGCAGATGTAGAATTAGATATTTAATCGACTTGTCTTATTAACAATGATAAACACAAGTATATTATTGTTACTTACATATATTATATACATATATAATTAATTAAATTATTTTTATTAAATCATGTTTAGTAAAATCGTTTGTAGAATTTTAATATCATTACCTAGTTGTTTACATATTTACCTAATACATGTGATTAAATTAATCAATAACACAATTATAAAAAAAAAAAATTCAATCAACCCTAAAATTTTGTTAATGCAAAGAAACTCATGTCAACTGGTTTAAAAAAATGAACATTCTATTTTAAAGTATATAAATAAAACGAATCTAAAAGAAGAATTTTGAAATATAGCATCTATCACTTGAACTTGACTTAGTATAGATTAAGTAAAAGATTAAACAGAGATATAATGCATGAACATAATCTCTTAAAATTCTGTAGTTTCCTAAGTCAATTAATAAAAATTAAAACTAGAATATTTTAAGAGATCAGGTTTATGTGTCATATATCTGTTTGAATTTTTACTTAATCTATACTAAGTCAAGTTCATGTGATGGGTATATATTTTAAAAATCTTCTTTTACATTAAATTATTTCTTTACACTATAAATCTATGCAATATTAAACTAATTTTTTATCTTAATCTTTCATTATTTTTCATTTTTGTTACAAGAACTTATTTTCTATGTTGAGTAAAAGATTATGATTCTTCAAAATTAGATATATGTCACTAACTTTGTTGCTGAGATCCTAAAACTTCATTCTGTAATGTTATTTATGTCATCAATAAAGTTTTTAGTACATATAACATTACAAAATGGAGTTTTAAGATCTTGGCAACGAAGTTACCGACGTATATCTAATTTTGAAAATCATTATTTTCTACTCAACTTTTATTTCAGATTACAAATATATATATACAAGAATTCTCCTATATATTAATTTGAAAAATATTTTTAGAGAATAACCTTATTTTGTAAGTATTTTCTTATTTAATATAATTTTTAATAAAAAAATATAAATCAATCAAATAATATAAATATCTAAAATTGATAAAAAGTTATAACAATATTATATCAAATAATTGACATATTCAAAACTGTTAAATGTGTTAAAAACTATAATATTATAAAGCTATATATTATATTATTTTATTTTAACTAATAAAACAACTTGATACAAAAACTTGAAATATTATCTTGTTAAAATCATACTATAATTTGATCAATTTTGTTTTATATTATAAAAATATATATTGGATCAGTAAGTTAAGAGTTATAAATATTGACTTGCTTATATATAATTTAGATAATTCAGAGATAATTCATCAACAATATATAATATATTTGTGTATATCTTCAATAAATTTATAATTATTTTTGTTTCTTAAACATTAATATTCTAACAAACCTAGTATTTGCAGGTTAATGTAAATATGTAATTACATTCATATAAAAATAGCTTAAAACAATTTTTAAAATTACATTGATATATAAGCTATTTTAATATATTTTATACGTATATTTAATATTTTAAAATAAAATTTCTAATATTTGTGTTTTTTAAATATTGATATTTTTATGAACACAGTATTTGCGTGTTAGATTACATATGTAATTACATTCATTTAAAAATATTTAAAAACAAATTTATAAAATTTTATAAACAAATTTTTTTGTTACTTACATATACTATATACACATAAAATTAATTAAATTGATTTATTATAAATAATTTCCAAATCATGTTAAATAAAATTGTTTGTAGACTTTTAATCCTGTGCATAATTATTATCTACTTGTTTACATATTTATCTAATATATGAGATTAACATAATCAATAACACAATAATAGTACAAAAATCGATCAATCCTAAAATTTTGTTAATGCAAAGAAACTCATGACAACCTGTTCATAAAAGAAAACAAAGAAAATAAAAATTCTAATTATATAAGTTCATGTGATGGGTGGTATATTTTTAAATTATTTTTTTATTAGTAAATTTCTCTTATAAATTATATTGTTTCTTTACACTATAATTCTCTGAAATATTAAATTTATTTTTGCTATCTTAATCTTTTATTTTTTTATTATGTGTGTTACAAGAACTTATACCATGTGTTGAATAGAAGATGATGATTTTTCAAAATTAGATATATGACCTTCGGTGTTCATCAATAATTAATTACAGTATGATTGCATACAACTCAAATTTGTTTATAGAAATTTTTGTACCCTTCCAAAATTTTATCTTTGCAAACCTCAGTACAATGACCAATGATTGTTTACCTCGAGCCTGGATAGTGTCATTAACTATCATTGCAAACTAACCCCATAACTCAATAGGACAATGATCATCACTGAAAAGCACAACTTTAAGTGTGAGTATTAAGGGATCATTTATTTAGTAAAAGGATGGATAATTAAAGATTCAAAATACATTTAGACTATATTTTAGATTTAAATTATTTTGAATTTAAAATTTTTAAAGTTAACTTAGGTGTATCTTTCCCATTTGTAGAAACAACTTCAACATGACGGAATTCAACAATTTATCCAATAACATATGTGTAAGATAAGATAAATAACGTAAAAATATAAAATAATATCTCCTTTGAATTATTGAATAAAGTTAAATAATAGCACCTACCAATCAAGTATTTCTGATCCAAGGAACCATCAAGAATTTCCTGGTAATTAGCTGGCTCGAAACCAATCAATTAATTAGATATTTGATCACAGTTACGTACACAGGTGGTTGAAAAGAATAATCTTGTAAAGGGTAACTGGTTGTTTGCTGTGATCCCAATGAGTGATTCACAGTGAAGTTGATGAGTATACTGAAACCATCTTGTCGGAAGAATGGGTCAAATTGATTAACATTCTCTTCCTTCACTGTAGCATGAATTTTGTACATAAACAAAATTGAACCGGTAAAAAGTCGAAGAGACGAAAGTAAAAACGAATAACTGTAGATCCGAACTATGATTACCATCTCCTCTGAGCTGCAACCCATATCTCCGATGGAGATGTTATATTGATACTGTGGTGAAAGGGTTAGAGACTGAGAGTGAGAGGGAGCGAGATTGAGAGCAAGAAAGGTCAAGACTAAGATGTGAGTGCAGTAAACAAGAGCAATACATAACAGAACTTGGAAAACAGCAAGTCTAATGCTGCTTATTTCATTAACAAGAATCTTACAATTTAATCCTCTCGATTAGAATTGTTTTGGTGTTATGCATCTCTAAACCTAGATTTCCCCCCCAAATGATTCCTAGTTCTAAACTCTCTTCACAAGAACACACAATCGGTGTATCAAGGACAGAGAACACTAACCTTCTTACTTCGTCTTTTTGTATGAAGGCCAAAGAAGATCTCAACAGTTTTACGGTTCAAAGTGTACAGCACACACTATGACCGACTTCCTATTTATACTAACTACCAAAACTTTAACCTTAGAATCTAGTGTTCGGCATGCGTATTTCCTTTTTTTGCAAGTTTCCTTTTGAGAGGATATCTCTAAATATTCAACAAGCTTCATTCGAATCTATCCCCTTGCTTTGCCACTTCGGCATCGCCAAGTCAGTTACACGGCTACACGCTTCCTGATGAGCTCCTTGATGTCGCTCTTGACGAGCTGCATCTTCATAAGAGTCAAAGCAATCGAGACTGAGAGTGAGAGGGATCAAAGCAAAGACAAGAGAGGTCGAGTAGAGAGGAAAAGATGAGAAATTTTTGTGAATACCCTAAAATTTATGGGTTATCATTTTTTTCCTAAAATTAACTTGTCTATTTATTATGGTGATCAATTGATTTTTGTATTTATGGTTAATATATAATTACGTTTTAATGATTGTGTCCTCTATATATTAATTGAGAAACATTTTTAAAGACTAGCCTCATTTTTGTTAAAAAAAATTACAGTAGTGTCATTTTCCTGATGTGTCACCAACATAGAGTTTCTCAGAATTTTGTTGAAAAAGTACTTCTGTTGCTAGAATATTTATATATTATGCCATTATACATTGTTATGATCAAATTTATGATCTTATTTTACAAACTATCTAAATGTTATATTACTGAATCATATTAATTTAAATAAATAGCACATCCAATTAAATATATGAGTCATGTAATTTTATTTTCCATTATGTATGGTATAATTAAAAATTATAAAATGTATTCAACTGCTATAATAATAAATGAATTAATTTAAATTTTATGCATAATCCAATAACAAAAAACAAATCTACTAATCTAAAAAATACTCATTATTTGCCAAAATAAAAATGGGAATACTATGGGTCCAAACCCATGACAATAATATCATCCCAATCATACACAACCAACTAGACTAGCTGAATTCTTATAATTCTTTCTCAGAATTAATATGTAACATATATTGAAATGAGGAACAATATTTTCTACAAATTTAATAAAAACGATTAGGTTATACATAGAATTTAAATCCAAAATATCATCATTTCATATTTTTCTTCGAATAATCATTTATTATTGTTTAGTACTAATCCTAATAAATCATAATTGATTGAGTGAATTCTAAATTGGCTGTTTTAAATTATAATTTAAATCATATGATTTTTAACTTTAGAAATTGAATTCTAAATCAGCAGCATTAACATATAATATTTACTACGTGATCGGCATGCACCATGTGCAGGCTATAAAATATTTTATATATTCGATTATGATTAATATAGTATTGAAGATGATTTATTTGTTTATGGTTAATTATGTATTAATAATAAAATAATAAAAATAATAATAAATTAAATATATATGTATTTCAATAGAAAATGAAGATAAAAAAAATTAACTAAAATTTTAAAATATTTCTTTGGATAAAAATGTAAATATGATAAATAAATAAATGGAAAAACATTAAAATACATAATAATTTATTTAATTTTTATTTTTGATCCGCACACATGTGAAAGTATATCTTTTTATAGACATAATTAGTTGTAATATTTAAGTATTGATTAAATTTCTTATACATTATGTAAATATTATGTTTCTATACATATACACTTTTAGTGTTCAACAACAATCACACAAACGTTTTATATTATTTTATGTCTTTTGAGAACTTTTATTTTTTCTATAGTTTACACAATATATAATTGCAAATATAAAAGTTATATTAAAAAATAATTAAATTCTTATAATATGTTTTGAATATTATCTATATAATATTTTTTTTTCTCTTTACATAATATAATCTTGCCAATATATATATTATAAGTATACATTAATCCTTGACTTATTGATAATTAAACCAAAATAAATTTTCTCATATTTATTTATCTTAAGAGCAGGTAGATGGTTGGTCCGCACATTCGTGAGTACCAACCACCTCACCGCTCTTAGGACATATAAAGATTTTTAAAAAATGTAAATTATTTAACAACTAAAATAAAAATTAGAGTGTGATCGAGGTTAACAAAATATACGCACGACAAATTTGCATGCGGGTTTCACTTTTGCACAATTAATAATTATATCTACACGTATATTTGTAAGAAAATTGAAGTATGTCTTTTATGTCTTAAAAGAAAATAATAAAATATATATTTTGTAATATATATTTTTATAATGTGTGGTTGATTTTTTTAAAAAAAACAAAATAATAAGTATATTTATAGGTAGGAGTTAGAAATATGTGAATTTTAATATTTAGGTGTTGGTAAGTTTTTTCTGGTATTTTCTCCAAACGTTATGTTTTTACACGATGCAGTTATTGGTGTCTAACAATCATAAAAATTGTTTCTATCGTTTTATATTTAATCAAAGTTTTTTATTTTTCAGCGTTTGATGATATATAGTTTCTCAATAAAAATATAATAAAAATTATTATAAAATTTGTGATATCATATTTTTATAAAAAAATTCGGTAGCTCTCCGCTCATCTCTTAGTCAAATTTTTTATAATTCGTAATCGTTCGGTTCCACAAACTCTCTGTAACTGAATCGTTTAAAGCAGTCGGATCTAAACTTATATGTGTATAATTTAAGGTGTAAAATAATATATTTAATATTTGATTTTTATTAAAAATTGAGAGCTGATTTGTTCATAACTTTAATATATTTGTTAATATAAAATATAATGGATCACAACATATACAAAACTTAATTCATGAAATAATAAGATGTGTAAGATAATATTTTAAAATATTTCAAATAAAAACTTAAAATCAATCAAAATTATTTTTTTTGTCTTCTTTGACTCATACTTTTTCTTAACATATCAAACATTAAGATCATCTCTAGTGTATTTTTCTATTTTTTCCTCTAAAATATAAGTGGACTTCTTTCCAACCTATTTCTATTTTACAGAAAAAAAAGAATGTTATTTTTTCTCTATAATTGGAGGAAAAAATAATAACCTTTCTTTTTCCTCTAAATTAGAAGATTTAAAATAAAAGTGGGTTGGAAATGCTTTAAACCAAAAATATAGCCTGAGATTTTTACATAAAATCAAAGTTGTAAAAATTCATTTTTACTTTTACTTCTACTTTTTATTCATATATACAGTATTATAAAAAACAATTTAGCTAAGAGGATACTTATAATTTATTTTTCAATCTGTTTATTTTTTTGTTTCATTTATAATTTTTAATTCTTGCTATATAATGAGAATTCATTCATATTTGATATAAACTATTTTTTGTATTTGAAAATGAGATTTATTTAGTTTTAACTTAACCAATCAAAATATTTTATTTATTTTATGAAATTTGTCATATCACATTTATGAGGTGGCATTGTTTTGCACTAACTTTTCTTAAGGTATTGATACGTAGAATATTTTTAGTAAACCTACTTCTCAAATTTTATTATATCATCTTAACTTTAGAAACTTTTTAAAATCTTATCACATGATTAATTGTTACACAAATATTTTAGATACGAATATTGGAATTAAGTAATAACATATCTGGCTGAAATTTATTAGGAAAGATATATATCAATACTTGATTAAATAATTTCAAAATTGAAAACTAATATAAACTTAAATTTAGAAACAGCTTTAAATCTTACCACATGATTAATTTTTATATGAATATGTTAGATATTAATAATTAGTAATTAAGCAATAACAAACTTGATTGAATATTTGGGAAAATATGTATATCAATAACCTCTATATATCCATAATTGCAAAATTTCCTTATTATGAAATCTCTTATATAATATTATGTGCTCTAACTCTCAGTAATCATTCTCCCTTAATATTTTCTTTTCAATGTTTTTCAATAGTTTCTGTTCATGACATCTTTTTGCTCAGTTATTAATCTGAAAATCATACGTCTCTGGAAACAGTATGTCTCCGAAATGTACTATTTTATATATGCACAACCTCTTTTCTGAATTTTTAATTTTGGATACAGAAGTCTTTGATTAGTTTCTATTGATCAGAAAAAATACTCAACACATTGGAGAGATGGAAAAGGATAACGATGTTAATTTTTTTTTTATTTAATACTTTTTTTTACCTATCAGTGAATTCTTTTTTTTTTGTCGGCAATTGATATTATTAAAGCCCAAATGGGCAAAGAGAAACATGAAGCCCAGGAGAAGTCCAAAACACAACTCAACATATAACATATTAAGAGGAAAACAATTAAAACACGTGTTGATAGACTGAGAAGGCTGGACCACGTGGCACGAATTTCCTTTGCATCGTCTTCATCGGCAACACCAAACATCGACGGTAACGCCAAATAACATCCTTGTCACCGGAAAGATCTTCTGTGCACCAATTCTGAAATTTGTAGGCTTCTGCTTTGTGGATGTTTCGGCTGACTAGCCGGACATGTCGCAGAGATCACCGAAGGTAGATAGCTATAAATTCCCCAAAGTCTTTTAGAT